TGTGTGGGGGGAACATGCAGATCTGTCCTCGCAGAGGAGGGAGAGCTTGTACCTGAATAGAACTTGGTCTTAAAGGTGCCACTGGACTGTTTTGGACTGGGGGGCCGGGGTGGCTCTGCAATTTACCTGGCTGCTTCTTGCTCTGACTGAGGGCTGCTGGGAGCAGGGGGTGGGGATTGTTGCATGTGCCCGCCCCTTGGGCTCTTTACTGCCGGAGCTCCGCTCCTGTGCTCTCCTGCAGGAAATGACCCCTGTGTGCATGTAATATCTAGTCAGGCCTTGGATGACTTTGGCATGCCATGCACATCTTAAAATATCCAGATGGTCCAGAGAAAGGGCAATATGAAGATCTTCCTGGCAAGGGGAGGGGAGAGAAGGGAAAACTTTTCTCTCTTTCAATGGATCACATCTGAGGCAGAATACAGATCCCTCACTTCTGAGAATCTAGAATGGGTTTATGCAGGAGTGTAGTAGTCTGAGAGGTGTGGAATGGAATTCAGAGCATGGTGCTATGGGGGGCAGAGAAGGGTGTGTGTGTGTGTCTCCATCTGTATGACAAAGCCCTGCATTTGTTCCTGTTTCAGGATCAGCTGTGGGACTATGAGTGTGCTTTGGTTCTGGAAGGCAAGACCTTGGTGGTGGATGCGTACATTGAACAGGATGAAACAAACCCATCCCTTTGCTATATCACGTGTGAGCTGCACCAGGTAACAAACCCATCCCTTTGCTATGTCACGTGAGACAACAAGTCTACCCTTCAGTTTCTGACTGTCAAAATCCAGCCAGCATGGTGAAGTTTCAAGGGTATTGGGCTAGGACCTGAGATATCTGGGTTCAAATTCACACTGTGCCAGGGAAGCCAGTCCCATGCTTTCAGCCTCACCTACCTCACAGGATTGTTGTGAGGATAAAAGGGGAGAATCGTAGAATCATACAGTTGGAAGGTACCGTCAGGATCATCTAGTTTGATGTAGTGGTTAAGTGCACGGACTCTAATCTGAGAGAACCGGGTTTGATTCCCCACTCCTCCACATGCAGCTGCTGGATGACCTTGGGCAAGCCATAGTTCTGTCAGAGCTGTTCTTGAAAAAGCAGTTCTGGAAAGAGCTCTCTCAGCCCCACCTACCCCACAGGGTGTCTGTTGTGGTGGGAGGGGAAGGGAAAGGAGTTTGTAAGCCACTCTGAGACTCCAAGTGAAGGGCGGGGTATAAATCCAATCTCAAATACTTCCCCCCCTCCACAACCCCAGTGACCGCTGTTCCACACCCAGAAGGTGACAAAAAACCTCCAGGATCTCCAGCCAAACCAGCCTGGAGAAAAACGGCTTCCTGACCCCAAAGTGGCGATCAGCGTTTCCCTGGGCGTGTAAGAAAGGGCCACGAGAACTAAGCACTGAGGCAACCCTTCCTGCCCTCCCACTCCTGATCTGTCTAAGTTCACAGAATCCGCATGGCTGTCAGATGGCAATCTAGCCTCTGTTTGAAAACCTCCAAAGAAGGAGAGCCCACCACCTAACCGCTCTGACTGTCAGGAAGTTCTTCCTAATGTTTAGCCGAAAACTCTTTTGATTTAATTTCAATCCATTGGTTCAAGGGAGAAGGGAGAGCCATGTATGCCATCCTGAGCTCCCTGGAGGGGAGAATGCAATAAAATTGAATGAGATTAGAACGGTGGTACTGTGATTAGTAGTTGCCAAGGATGTGTCAGCCTACCTGTGGTTGCTTTTGATTTAATTTCAACCCGTTGGTTCAAGGGAGAAGGGAGAGCCATGTATGCCATCCTGAGCTCCCTGGAGGGGAGAATGCAATAAAATGGAATGAGATTAGAACGGTGGTACTGTGATCAGTAGTTGCCAAGGATGTGTCAGCCTACCTGTGGTTGCTTTACTGATGACTCCAGGCTGTGGTCTACCCAAGCTGTTTATTGCTCACCAGTGCCAATTCAAGGCACCTGGAAAGTGCATCTGACCCTCATTTTGCACAATGGAAACATCTAGGAAATAAGTACACAGTGGTCACCACACTGAGCAGGAGCTTGGATGGTGTGCCAGCCTCATTCCCAAAATGCACAAAGCCCAACCTGCCTTTCCACTTGTGCAGAAAACCTGGAAGGCATGGGGAGGGGGGACAGGCTGCATAAAATCTTCTGATTTTCGAAGCAGCCTTGCAGTTTGGGTGGCGAGACTCATTTATTCTGTTTCTGTTTGTTTAAACAAATCATTTGGGAGCCAGTTTGGTGTAGTGGTTAAGTGAGTGGACTCTAATCTGGGAGAACCGGGTTTGATTCCCCACGCCTCCACTTGCAGCTGCTGGATGACCTTGGGCAAGCCATAGTTCTGTCAGAGCTGTCCTTGAAAAAGAGCAGTTTCTGTCAAGAGTTCTCTCAGCCCCACCTACCTCACAGGGTGGCTGTTGTGGGGAGGGGAAGGGAAAGGAGTTTGTAAGCCGCTCTGAGACTCCAAGTGAAGGGCGGGGTATAAATCCAATCTCTTCTTCTTCTTCTAAGTAAGAATTGTTTTGCCCTGATCTGGATGGTCCAGTTGAGGCCAATCTCATCAGACCTTGGAGGCTAAGCAGGGTCAGCCCTGGCTAATAATTGGATGGGAAACCCCACCAAGGAAGTCCAGGGATGCCGTGTGGAGACAGGCAATGGCAAAACCGCCTCTGGACACCTCTTGCCTTGGAAACCCTTTGGGGCCACCATAAGTTGGCTGTGAGGATGGCATTTTCCACCAGCACCAAGAAATGTTCTATAATTCCTTTCAAGGGATTGATGTTTTGGTCTTGTTGCAGTACAGCTACTCGGCCCCCCAGTTGGAATTCAATGCTGCTGTTTTCGTGCAGAGGAAGCGGCGCCTCCGTGTGGACAGCATAGAAGATCTCCATGGTACGGGGCACAAGGGCAGGTGGGGGGGGGGACGGGCATGAGCTTGGCACCCAGTCCTGATCCGAATGGAGCACCCATGAACCTGCTATCTTTCAGAGGGAAAAAAGCTGGGACCTCCATTTCTCTGCTGTGTGGCTCTTCTAAAGCACTACCAGTAATCTTTTCCAGTAAAAAATGTGTCGAGATTCTCATAGGTAGCTGAGTGCAGCTTTCTGCCTCATGTGAAAGTCTTTGCAGTGGGGCAATAATTAAACTCTGGCATTAGAAGAGGACACTTGTGACTGCCCCCCCCCCAATACCACACATAAAGGTAAAGGTTTCCCTTGCTCGAAAGCCAGTTGAATCCGACTGTAGGGCGCGGTGCTCATCCCTGTTTCCAAGCTGAAGAGCCAGCGCTGTCTAAAGACGTTTCCGTGATCATGTGGCCGGCATGACTAGATGCCGAGGCGCATGGAATGCTGTTACCTTCCCACTTGAAATTTCTTGCTTTCGAACTGCTCGGTTGGCAGGAGCTAGGGCCAGAGACGGGAGCTCACTTGGTCATGCAGCACTCGGGTCTCGAACTGCTGAACTACCGACCTTCTGGTCTGCAGTTCAGTGTCTTAACCACTGAGCCATTGCAACCCCATAAAACCCCCCACACACATAGAGAACTATAGATAGAACAAAGCAATAGTTCTTCCTGTGCCGCCTCCTTCCCAATCCAGGTGGGATAGGGTGGAGAAAGGGGATGAAATCACCCTGATATATTCAATGTGGATCAGTGAGGGTTCTCTACCAGGAGGCATCCAACTCACTTGGCAGGAGGAGACGAAGGCTGCCCAGGAACCTTAGCACAACCATCCCCTTTCCAGGTGTCCTTTCAGCCCCTACAGTCTGCAGATCACGTGGCCTTGGGGTGGAGGAAGTGACACGTCAAAGATTCTGTCTTGGAGAAGGCAGAGAAGGAGTGAGGCAACATGGTAGCACACACACACACACCCCGTTAGGGGAGGGACTGTGGCTCAGTGGTGGAGCATCTGCTTGTCATGCAAAAAGTCCCAGGTTCAATCCCTGGCATCTCCAGCTGTATAGATCTAGCAGTAAGGTTCCCTTGCTCGAAAGCCAGTCGAGTCCGACTCTAGGGTTGCGGTGCTCATCTCCGTTTCAAAGCCGAAGAGCCAGCGCTGTCCGAAGACATTTCCGTGGTCATGTGGCCGGCATGACTAAACACCAAGGTGCACGGAACGCTGTTACCTTCCCACCGAAGTGGTCCCTATTTATCTACTTGCAATTTCTTGCTTTCGAACTGCTAGGTTGGCAGGAGCTGGAACTAGAGATGGGAGCTCACTCCATCATGCGGCACACTCGGGTCTTGAACTGCTGAACTACTGACCTTCCACAGCCTGCAGTTCAGCGTCTTAACCACTTGAGCCACCGCAGCTTCCAGATCTAGCAGTAGGTGATGTAAAAGACCGCTGCCTGGAGAGCTGCTGCCAGTCTGAGTAGACAATACTGACTTTGATGGATCAAGCGTCAGATTCAGTATAAGGCAGCGTCATGTGTGTCTCTTCTGTGTTTTCTGCCTTGCTTGCCTGTTACGTGCATGGAAAAGGTTGTCTTGAAAGGCTCACTACCGGTGCCTTTGTGTGTATCACCCTTCTCTGTAGTGACTCTGTACAACTGCTCGGTGGGCCACTCGGACTGCAGCCGCTGCCAGACTGCTGATGCCAAGTATAACTGTGTGTGGTGTGGCGGGGAACGGCCCAGCTGCCTCTTCCAGGACTCCTGCAAAGAAAAGGTGGCAGACATGTGCCCAGCCCCGCTGATCCATTCTGTGAGTAGAAGCACAGTTGGGAGGAAGCCAGGTTTTGCGGTGCGGGAATCTTCCCTGTCTGACAAGGGAGCTGACCTCTGAGAGGCAATGGTGTGAATTCTCACCTGGTTTCTGCCGCCTGGCTCAGACAGGGCTTGGGGGATTCTGCTCCAGTGCCGCTGGAATGCTGCAAACAAAAATGAGTTTAATAGTAGATCTGGTCTGGGAACTTGGCGTTGTTGAATCATTTGTTTTTGTAGGATGGGGGAACTGTGTGGAGGATGCTGGGTTTTGAGTGCACGTGTTTTAGAGTGAGAAAGAAGGGTTGCGATTGCCAGACCATGGAGCAGGGGGAGGTGCGGCGGGGAACGGCCCAGCTGCCTCTTCCAGGACTCCTGCAAAGAAAAGGTGGCAGACATGTGCCCAGCCCCGCTGATCCATTCTGTGAGTAGAAGCACAGTTGGGAGGAAGCCAGGTTTTGCGGTGCGGGAATCTTCCCTGTCTGACAAGGGAGCTGACCTCTGAGAGGCAATGGGTGTGAATTCTCACCTGGTTTCTGCCGCCTGACTCAGACAGGGCTTGGGGGATTCTGCTCCAGTGCCGCTGGAAGGCTGCAAACAAAAATGAGTTTAATAGGAGATCTGGTCTGGGAACTTGGCGGTGTTGAATCATTTGTTTTTGCAGGATGGGGGAACTGTGTGGAGGATGCTGGGTTTTGAGTGCACGTGTTTTAGAGTGAGAAAGAAGGGTTGCGATTGCCAGACCGTGGAGCAGGGGGAAAGGAGTTGGTGAAAAACTGGAAGGCCTTGGGAAGGGGCTGAGCGTTCCAATAAGAAGCGATTCCCCCAGGGCTTTTTTTGTGTGTGGGGGGGAACGCACCGGAATGGAGTTCCAGAACCTCTTTGACAGAATCCTTTAAAAAAATGTTTAAAAGCTCATGAGTTTTCAGTATACAGATTGAAAACTTCGTTTCCCTCTTGAGAGTTCTGGCATGCTTTTTTTTTTGGGGGGGGGGAGCCCTGGATTGCCCCATATAAAAATTGTGCATATTCTGTATTTCTAAAGAAATCATCAGTATATTTTTTTAATAATACCTTAATCTTTCAAGGATTTTTAAAAATTAAAACTCACGATTCTCGCGAATCTGAAAATTGCACCGAGTTGCCAGTTCCACCCAGCCTTGTAAAAAGTCATCAGAAAGGAAGGAAGATGGAAGCATTTTTATGACTGGATCAAGGCAGAGGGATAATAATAGACTCCTGATTATGTATGAATATATGTTATGGAAGTGTATTTCTGTTTATGGAAAAATGAAAATAAAACCAATTTAAAAAAAAGAAAGGAAGGAAGGGGGAAAAAAAGAAATGACAGAAAAGGTTTACCTTTTAATTCTGCCGTAAAAGCTCATTGAAAACCCGCTTCCCCCTTTTGGCTCAGTCTTCTTCCTACTATCGCCTAAGAGGGGCTGCATGCAGCCCTGGAAACAAATTCCAGAGTACAAAATACACAGGCACAGCTGCATTTGTGAAGTCGTCCCCCCCCCCCCCCCCCCATACCGGAAATTTTTCCATTTTTCTCTTGAGAGTGTCAGCCTCCCCCCCCCCCTGCTCCCAAGAATCTGCAAGGAGAAGCATCTTTGAAGGCAGAAGCAAACGGAAAGGCTTTCATGGGTCCCTGGTGTGTTTGCAGGCAATTTGAACAGCGGTAGCCTTGCACGGGAGGGGGGGAAAAGGAATCAATATCATTTAAATTTTAAAAGACAGAAAGGCTTTGCTGAAGGAAGTGGGTCTCGAAGGGGGGGGCGAGGGAAGCGGCTAACGGTGCCCCCCCCCAGCAGAGTTACATCCTTCTGAATCCATCGAAGCCAGTGGGCTTGGGAGGGGGGGGGGGGATTCTTCCTCGGATGACACTGGAAGTGAGTGGGCGGAAGAGAGTGTTTTGGAGAGTTTGCTTCAGGCGTGAAGAGCAGCAGAGAGGTAGACGGGCAGGAGCTCGGCCTGTCTGGGAGGTCAGCAGGTGAAGAGTGAAGAGAACAAGGAGGATAAAGAGAGATGAGAAAGGGAGATTAAAAAGGGAGGCCGACAGGGAGAGAATTTTAAATAGGTGCATTACACTTGAGGGTTGCCGTCTCAAGGTCTGATGAAGGTAGACTGATAAGCCAGAATACACGCCTAAACACACAAACAAAGTGGATCCCTCTGTTTGTAGACGTGTCTGCTGGCCTTTGATCCCTCCTTGCCCAGACTGTGCAAAAGGAGGTGCCGGAATGGTCTTGGGACAGACCGAACAGAAGTCATGTTTTTGCCACGTGTCCTTAGGCCTTGTGAGATAAGAGGGGCAGGGGATGTACAAACAGGGGAATGGCCCTGCTGGATCAAAGCAGTGATTCATTGCCAGGTGAACGGTATGGTGATGTCCCTTCCATGTTATGAATGGGTGTGATGCAAACTAGCGTGCTGGGCGGAGTGGTATCCTGTGTTTCGAGAACATGAAGAGAGTCCTGACACATCAGACCAGTGGGCCATCAAATCAGCATCCAGATGCCTGCAGTGACCAGCCGTTTGCCCTCAAGAACCAACAAACCAGAGCACTGAGGCTGAGGCCTTCCCCTGATGCACTGGTGTTCCAAGGTCTGCTGCCTCCGGATACGGAGGTTGCCTTCGGTCTCCATGGCTGGTAGCCACATTCCATCACTCGCCCATGTCTGGCTCTCTTTCTCAGATTTCTCCCTCAACCGGACTGGTTGAAGGGGGCACCAGAATCACCATCATGGGCTCAAACCTTGGCCAGAAGCACGAAGATATTGCAGACACTGTCACCGTGGCAGGAATCCCTTGTGAGGTTGATCCTGAAGCGTATGAGATCTCCAGCAGGTAAGTGCAGCCCCCCACCCCGCCATGGGATGATGTTAGACACCCTCTCCTAAGAACATAAGAGAAGCCAATGTTGGATCAGGCCAAAGGCCCATCCAGTCCAACACTCTGTCACACAGTGGCCAGAAATACCAGGTGTCATCAGGAGGTCCAGCAGTAGGGCCAGGACACTAGAAGCCCTCCCACTGTTGCCCCCCCCCCAAGCACCAAGAATACAGAGCATCATGTGCCCCAGCCTGTGAGTTCCTATCTATACCTTGTGGCTAATACCCACTGATGGACCTCTGCTCCATATATTTATCTAATTCCTATTGAAGCTGTCCATGCTCTATACCTTGTGGCTAATAGCCACTGATGGACCTCTGCTCCATATGTTTATCTAGTTCCCTCTTGAAGCTGTCCATGCTTGTAGCCGCCACCACCCCCTGTGGCAGTGAATTCCATGTGTGAATCACTCTTTGGGTGAAGAAGTACTTCCTTATATCTGTTCTAACTGTGAATCACTCTTTGGGTGAAGAAATACTTCCTTTTATCCGTTCTAACCCAACCGCTCAGCAATTTCATGGAGTGCCCACGAGTTCTTGTATTGTGAGAAAGGGAGAAAAGTACTTTTCTCGACCTGCTGTATCCCACGCATAATCTTATAAACCTCAATCATGTCACCCCTCAGCCGTCGTTTCTCCAAGCTAAAGAGCCCCAAGCGCTTTAACCTTTCCTCATAGGGAAAGTGTTCCAACCCTTTTATCATTCTAGTTGCCCTTTTCTGCACTTTTTCCAATGCTATAATATCCTTTTTGAGGTGTGGTGACCAGAACTATACACAGTATTCCAAATGAGGTCACACCATTGATTTATAC